ACTGTTATCATGATTTAGAAATATTTGAAACTGGACTGGATTAAAGATAGTAAGAGAATATATACATCTTGTGAATAATAGAAAAAGATTATTCAATATAACTTTAAGAAGTGTGCATTGTTTAGAGCTCCATATAAATAAAATTAACTAAATATTATCATTTACAGATTTTTATTAAATAGCACTTTTATAAAATAGCACAACATTTATTTCACAAACGACTAGTAATAACAGGAAAACGAGCCAGACTCTTCTCCGTGTATACAACGGGGCTATTAACTAAGCAAAGTTGCTACTGAATATTGTCTTACAGAATTCACTAGGTTTACTTAGAAAACCTTCTGCCTCTGACAAGTCTGGCAATTTTGGAACTTTATAGAGTTTTATAATTTAAATCCCAATTCCAAAAGTGATTCGCTAGCTAGTCTAGTTAGTTAGTTAGTTGTGATGGAAGGAGGACGTGTCCTCCTCAATTAGCTAAAGAAAAAGCCGTTTTGAATTCACAGAAAACCTCGTGATAGTGGATAGTAGATAGAGGGTGAAACTAGAACCAACCAGAGGCATTAACAAAAGCAAGAATCTGGCTAATGCTAATGCTGGAGATATCGCTAAGTGAGTTGAAGAAAGGGGCCCCTAGAATCTTAAACCTAGTTCTGGCTAAACCTGGACAAAAACACATCAGGTGTTCTGGTGTCATTTCTTAAACACGCAGTACAAGAGCTACCACAGGTAAGCCCGAGTCTAGCTCCATGCCGTCCTATGGACCAGTGTCCCGTAAAGAGTTAGTCTAACTCTGAAAGATTTAGCTCACTGTTCTCATTAGATATCTATCCAACCTTTTTTAGCTTGCCACAGAACAAATAATGAAATTTAAATAGGCTACGTACATAAAGGGAAATGACGAACGCAGAAATGCCCAAAAAATGTTTCGTGTTTATACAGTTGGGGCAGATTGTCGCCAATATTTACATGGGCTTATTCAGGGGGGCCATGGGGTAACGCCACCGAATGTGATAGTATTAAACATGAATGGAGGTGAGTATTAAAATAATTTTCAAATATTGTTTAATTTAATAAACATTTAGTAGCAATACCAACACAAATAAGTGATGTGATAGATACTTCATTTGTTAAAATTTTTATAAATTAAATACACTTTCATAAGACAAGGTAGGTTTTGCTCGATGTAATATGTCATAGAGGAATGAATATCAATGAAGTAAGGTCACCACCCATAGCTATGATAGATAGTTGACGTCGAAGGTTTGTGCAGACAATCTTAAGTAGCAATTCATTTCAATGCAATCACCTTGTTTTTTTTTAAAGAAATTTGATATAATAGATGATTTTGCGAAACTTTATTGGTTATGATTATTTTGTTTTAAGAAATTTTTTTTTACTTGTCAATTTGTATAAAAATTATTCTTTGTGGCTTTATTACTTATTCCTTCTCTACATCCTGACTCACTTGCTAGTTATGTATATGCTCTTTCTCCATGACCACCAAATGCTTTCTTATAAAAATGCGAAAACCGATTTGTATATCGTGATTCAATATTATAGTTAGGAATATATAGGTACGACTAAGAACAAACTTAAGACAAAGATGGATGGACATAAACATAGTTCAAAAGTGGTACTGAAACCAGTACAGCTGTACATTGTACTGACTGTATTGGCAATGTAAAGATTTTACATGAAGAAGGAAATCAAATTAAAAGGTGCTTTCTGGAAATACTGTCAATACTTAAATTGGTTGCTGCTAAGCTCAAAACTGCAAACCTGTTTTCCTAGATATTTTATTTTTAGATAAAAAGGATCAAGTCTTTGTGATTTATGGTTTAAAATGATTTATAAAAAGTTTTTATTTTAGGAGACAGAAATTTCATATTTTCAGTAATTTGAGGTAAAGTTAATTAAAATTTTCTAGGGATTTTTGCACTGCACTTATGTAAATATTTATTTATTGAATTTATTTATTATTTTTGATTAAATGTTTTCAAATTTATTTATTTATTTATTAAACATCTTATAAAACTAATTTTTATCTAATTTACCCTACTCGAAAATTTGGTAAATACCAATATTCGCAACATAATTTACTATTTCCCTCAATTTACCATCAATTCACTTGAACTCGCATACGGTCTAAATTATGTAAAGAATACATCTTTTATAGAGTTCAAAAGGGTTATAAAATCTTCACTATTTGCTTATTACATTCATTTAAATATATTGATTAATTATTAACTTTAAATTTCAACTATTTATGAGGTATGTAAAGTATAAAAGTTATTTTTTTAAAAACACTTTTTTTAAGCACTTTTTAATGGAACTTACCCACTGTGTCTAGTTCAAAAACCTTAGCAAAAACCAACTGTGTTGCTGCGAGCCTGAACGCTGCGCATCGAAGCAGGATTTTGCCGAAAACTGTGTGTTATCCTTGTTTACTTTCGAGTTTCTAGTCGCCAAGGAACAGAGCACAGTTGGGTGTGAATGAGTTTCGTTGCAAGTACACGTAAGGAAAACAATTCTTGAAAATCAATTTATAGATTTTTTTTAGCAAATTAACAAAGCCTTTTCAAAATGTTTTGATTATTATTTTTTTGTAAATATTTTGTGATTTTTGAGATTTGTTTATTTCGCTATATAATCCGTGAACGTAGCCGTAACGCGCACTTTTCGACTGATTTCCGCTGTGAAAATGTAACGACGAGTTTGTCAGCTGACCACCTCGCACGGCGTCACCGATATGCTGAGTCTTCTGGTGTCTTCTGATATAATCGTATAAACTATTGAATTAGTTTATTTCAAATATTACTCAATCTACAATCTACAAATTAAATAATTGAGCGAAGCACACAATTCAACTGCAAAAACACGGCTTAAAATTATGTACGATGTGAACTTTTTGCTGCACTAATCTTTCTATAAATTGAATAAATTTTTCGGACAAATTTAGAGTCCGCAATGAGCATATGGAGCTCGTCACTTTTTATGCTAAACTTTTTTACTAGACAAATACTAACAATCACTGTGAGATTTTAGAACAGAATTTTTATTTTCAATTGAAATTAATTTATAAACTTTGTCTGAGTTTAGAGATTTTGCACGGAGTCAAAGAGATGTGTTGTCAGTGAATACCTTCAATTGACTGAGCGCACTTTCGATATGCGGACCGTATTTATCCTTTTTTGGCGCCATGTATCAGAGTCAACCTACACAGTTTCCAACAACAATAATCGTCCACTGTGTTTATCACTGTGGAACTGTGTGTTAAATGGGATGCTGTTGAAGGTGGTTGAAGGACGTTTTTTTTCCCTACATTCAGTACTCTTTTCACACTTTTTGACTCGACTTCTGTTGCCTCAGCATAACTAAATTTCACTGTTAGCACTGCTAATACTGATGCTGTTGGCTAAATTGGTACTAGTCAGCGCTCAGAGCACAAGGAGACGAACTTCTCTCAAGGGATGATTTTCACATACACATCACAGCATGTAAACTTAATTCATATCCTCTACCGAGTTTGAGATACATCCCTTCTATTTCAAAAAAACTGTAAAGCGCAAGTACAAACAATAATAAATTCTTCTACTTTAAAAATGAGTCCATGGCTGAGACCATTGTTGAGGCTGGAGAGCTTATCAAACAATAATATTTACACTACACTCATTTTTTAACCGATTGGATTATAACAAACACTTTCGTCTGAAGTTGTCTAAGGTTTGAGGGGCAAATTAAGGTCGGATTTAGTGTCAATAGAGTTTAGAGCAATAATCTTCGTGAGTGTGGGGTGAATATTAAAATTATTTTGTAAATATTGTTAAATAAAAATTTATTGTGTGTTGTTTACAAAATAAACATAAATGGTGTGACACACTTTCTTTTTGTCTGAAGAGGCAGAATACCGTACGTGTTTGGAGGTGGGTAACACACATTTACATTCGCTGTCATTGTCCCACTTTGATCTAAGCCAGAAGATGACTGTTAGGTCAGAAGTTTCTATTGACCAAAATAACAGCTAACATTTTGACTTTAATTAAAAAGAAGACGGAGAGTTGGTCTAGCTCCGTCATTGCCAAGAGCGGACACCTATTGTACGGCAGATAATTTAGAAATTTTTGAATGAACTTAGATACAATTTATGTAGGTGTTTTAATAGCAGAGGTGCTTGAGAAAAGCTTTGACTTTAATTGTATGAATAAAATTATTAGTAGATATAGGAAAAAATATATATGAAAATTCATAAAATAGGCTCAGTAATTTATTGCAAAACTACAGACATGTTTATAGAATACATATCGTTTCT